CTAGCCTACTGTTCACGGCCAGCGAAGAACCCACACGTCTCGCGCGTCTTAGCTCGCGCGCCTCAGCGCAACCTCGCACGCTCCTCGGCGCGACCTCGCGCCCCCCCGCGCGCGACTCGGCGCGCCTCCAGAGCGCAACTCAGCGCCTCTTCCAGTGATGTGATTCGCAGAGAGAGGCAACAGATGTGAAGAAATTTTTGGTCATGTTCCTGTTGCTTCTCTACTGATCTGTCTTGGTTATGGGATTTTTTGCTCGTGTTTCTCTGCTGTCTTGCACTGTCTGATGTGAAGACATTGTTTTTAATTAAGGTGTAGTGGTGGTTGATGTGGTGAGCAGATCTGGTTGATGTGGTAGTGGAAGTTGGTGTGGTGACTTGTAGTGTGATTGATAGTTGCTGTTGGTGGTGTTCACATTTTTTTTTTAGTGGATTTGGTGACAATCTGATAGATTACAGTATTCTCTTTTTAATTGGTGGATATGTCTACTGATTCGGTAACTTCGGATGTTCGTTCAGGGGTGACTACCCCGACTATTGCTACTGGTTCCTTTGGTATGAGTGGTTTACACACCACATTAGTAAAGTTGGATGGCACGAATTACCCGAGTTGGTCAATGGCCCTTTCTACTTTTATTTATGCTAATCGCCAATCTAGGTGGCTCCATGAACCACCACCTGAGGATTCAGCTAATTTAGAAGAATGGAGGGTCACTGACGCTGCGTTGCGTACTCTGCTGTGGGGAAGTATGACTGATTCTATTCGTCCTCTTTTTATGGATTGTATGACAGCTCGTGAGGTGTGGTCCAAATGCACTTTACTTTATTCTGGACAGAATAATATGAGTCGAGTATGTGATGTGGGAGGCATTATTTGAGGCTAAAATTGGTCCTTCCGGATTGGCAGAATACTATGCTCGTTTTACTTCTTTGTCTCAATGACTCCGGTCTCATCTTCCACCAGCCACAACAGTTACTCGGATGCAACAGAGAAGCGGACATGCTGGTGGTCCTCTTTCTTCGAGGTCTTGGTCCAGATCACGGTGCCCTAAGACAGATTACTTCTCTCGGGCACCCTTCCTTCCATAGAGGAAGTATATTCTCGAGCTGCTCGGTACACTCCTGATTCGAAAGCTTCAACTATGTCAGATAATAGTGCTATGGTGGCTCGTGGTAATCAAGGAGTTCGTGGTCGTGGCAATTGGAGTACAAGTAACTTTAATCATGGTCGTGGCCGCACTATTCCGGGTCGAGGTGTTCCTCGAGGTGGTAGTACTGCTAGTGCTAGAGGACGTCGTGGAGGTCGTTTTTGTACTCATTGTCAGTTGGCTGGACACACTATTAACTATTGTTATGATCTCCATCCTGAGTTGCGGGGTTTACAGGCTTCCATTGATATTGAGCCTCGGTCTTCTTCATCTGGATCAGCTTCCGAACAAAGTACTGTGCAGTTGACTCGTGCAGAATATGATGAGCTAATTAGAGCGCGACAACCTGGTGGTTCTTCAGCTCCTGTTGCTACTTTGGCACAACATAATGATGGTACTTGTCTCTTAGCCACTACAGATACACTTAGTCCTTGGATTATTGATTCAGGTGCCACTCATCATATGACTGGTGATTCGCGTCTTCTTACTTCATCTTCTTCTACTCCTTCCACTTCAGTCACCTTAGCAGATGGTACAAAATCTCAAGTAGCTGGTACAGGTTGTGTGTCATTGAATTCCTCCATATCTTTGCTTTTTGTTTACCATATTCCTCGATTCCCTTATAGTTTGTTATCTGTCAGTTCCATTACTCGTGATCTTGATTGCAATATCACCTTTTCTCCATCTTCATGTGTCATCCAGGATCGGAAGACTGGACGCCGGATAGGTGGTGGGCGTGAGGCTGGTGGATTGTATCTTCTAGACCCCGTGATTGTTGCTGCTACTGCTACTATTCAGAAGAAGGCTGTGGATGACTCTTATCGGTTGCATTGTCGTCTGGGTCATCCGTCAACAGATACACTTTGTCATTTTCCTTTTGTGTCTAGATCGAGTCTTAAGTTTGATTGTGAAACGTGTCAGTTGGGAAAGCATCATCGTGTGTCTTTTCCACCCCGTGTTTTGAGTCGTGCTTCTCAACCATTTGAGTTAGTCCATTCTGATGTTTGGGGTCCTAGTCGAGAGTCTTCATTTGGTTTTCGTTATTTTGTCACTTTCATTGATGATTGTACTCGTACCACTTGGTTATATTTAATAAAAGATCGTACTGAGGTATTTCACTCCTTTCGTCAATTTTACAATGAAGTTACTACTCAGTATGGATATCCTGTTAAATGCTTACGTACAGATAATGCTCGTGAGTATTTTTCTTCTTCCACCTTTCTTCCTTTCCTTGAATCTCGTGGTATTTTACATCAGAGTTCTTGCGCTCACACTCCACAACAAAATGGAGTTGCTGAACGTAAGAATCGTCATTTACTCGATGTTGCCCGGTGTCTTCTTCTTCATACACATGTACCTAAATCTTACTGGAGCTATGCTATTCGTACAGCATGTCATCTTATTAATCGTCTTCCATCTTCTGTGTTAAAGGGAGCTGTTCCTTTTACTCTTCTTCATCCTAATCAACCTTTATGGTCTATTCGTCCTCGTATTTTTGGTTGTGTCTCGTTTTGTCCATCGCTTGTCTCCCCGGCCTAGACAAATTATCTCCCGTGCTGAAAAATGTGTCTTCGTTGGTTACTCTCGTACCCAAAAGGGTTATGTTTGTTATAATCCTACTTCTCGTCGAGAGTACGTCTCTGCTGATGTTACCTTCTTCGAGGATCGGACATTTTTTGGTAATGTTTCTTGTCCTGCACCGTCTTCCTCACCTTCTCAAACATTGTTAGTTCCCCTACCTATATCTCCAGCAGAATCACCATATGTCTCTTCTACCGTTGTTCCATCAAATCCAAGTTCATCTCACCCACTACAGTCTATACACGTGGTCCTCGCCGTGCTTGGAATCATGGACTCTCCATCAGCAGACGCCTCACCACTATCTCCGGCCCCGGCTTCTGATCCTCTTCCATCACCTCCAGTTGACTCTCCTGTTGCACACCGTACTCGATCTCGGTATCCTCTTGCTCATTTTGTGTCTTATCATAATTTATCTCCTCAAATGTCATCATTTGTGTCGTCTCTCGCATCTGTGTCTGTGCCCAATAGTGTGCAGGAAGCTTTAGCTCATCCAGGTTGGGCTCGTGCTATGGAGGAAGAAATGGCTGCACTACAACACAACAAGACTTGGGAACTTGTCTCTTTACCTCCTGACAAGCAATTGGTAGGTTGTCGGTGGGTATTTGTTGTTAAATATCATCCTGATGGTTCTGTTGAGCGCTTAAAGGCGCGTCTTGTTGCGAAGGGCTATACTCAAAATTATGGCATTGACTATGACGAGACTTTTTCTCCAGTGGCTAAAATTCCTTCTGTTCGTGTCATTATTTCTTTGGCTGCTCGTTTTAAGTGGACTCTTCATCAGCTTGATGTTAAAAATGCGTTCCTTCATGGGGATCTTCAAGAAGAGGTCTATATGGAGCAACCACCCGGGTTTGTTGCTCAGGGGGAGAAGGTATGCCGATTGCGTAAAGCTCTATATGGACTAAAGCAGTCTCCTCGTGCTTGGTTCGGTCGTTTTAGTGATGCTGTTACCAGTTTTGGTATGCATCGATGCAATGTGGATCATTCCGTATTTAGTATGTCATCTTTGAAGGGGTATGTTATTCTGGTTGTTTATGTTGATGATATCATTGTTACTGGGAGTGATGTTGAAGGCATAAAACGACTCAAGCAGTTTCTACAAAAGGAGTTTAATACTAAAGACTTAGGTCTACTTCGATATTTTCTCGGTATCGAAGTTGCATATACTGGTGATAGTATTGCTCTTTCTCAGAGAAAGTACGCCATTGATATTCTTAAGGAGGTGGGCTTGCACGATGCTAAGCCTGGTGATACACCTATGGACCCTGGGGTGAAGCTTGATAACGAACACGGGGAGCTTCTTCATGATCCAGAAAAATATCGTCGGTTGGTAGGCAAGTTGAATTATCTTACCATTACTCGTCCAGATATCTCATTTGCTATTAGTGTGGTGAGTCAGTTCATGAGCTCTCCTCGTACTACTCACTGGCAAGCTGTATTACATATTATACGATATTTGAAGGGAGCCCCAGGTCAAGGGCTTGTATTCCATAATCGGGGTCATCTTAATGTAGCTGGTTATTCTGAGCCAGACTCTTTGGAGGTGACAGGATACTCTGATGCAGATTGGGCTGGTTGTCCTGTAGATCGCCGGTCTATATCAGGGTACTGTGTATTCCTTGGAGGTAATCTTGTGTCGTGGAAGAGTAAGAAACAATCAGTTGTTTCTCGATCTAGTGCAGAAGCAGAATATCGTGCTATGGCTAACGTTACAAGTGAGCTTCAGTGGATTCGTATGTTGTTGATTGAGATTGGATTACATATGGCAGGATCGTCTACTCTCCATTGTGACAATCAATCTGCCATTCATATTGCTAGTAATCCAGTGTTTCATGAGCGAACTAAGCATATAGAGATTGATTGTCACTTTGTTCGGGAAAAGGTGAATTGTGGTGATATACAGCTGGTACATACACGGTCTGAGGAGCAATTAGCAGACATTTTCACGAAACCTCTACGGCGTGGACGAGTTTCATATATTTGCAGCAAGTTAGGTCTTTTTGATATGTATGCCCCAACTTGAGGGGGAGTGTTAGTTTTATTATTAGATAATTAGCAAGTTGGGTTTATTTTAGGAAAGGGTATTTAGGTCTTTGTATCAAGGCTTAACCCTAAGCCTATATATACTTGGTTTATCTCAATAATAAAGTAGATCTCTTTTACCAAATTACAATAATTATGTGAATGTTAAAGCTTATGCTGTTTTTTTTTTCTCTTATCGAGAACAGGATCCCCAAAATTCTGGTCTTAGTCGTGGATTTGCTTTCATTTTGCACTACAATAACATATGTGCTGACTATTCAAGGCAAAATAATGGCAAGTTCTAATTTCAAGCTGGATGGCACTATCCCTACTGTCACATGGGCTGATCCAAAGAGTGCAACTCATCACTCTGCTGCATCTCAGGCATCTGTAAGTGAAACTATGCTACTAAATAAATTTTTTTTAGGGGCACACTTCGGCAGTGTCTTTCCAAACTTTGTAAAGAGAATTTAACTCAACGGGCTAGATGACACATAGAGGAGATCAGATTTGCCCAGAAATGAGAGTCTGAGATTCTGCAATTTTTTCACCTAAAAAGGTGACTGAAGCAAAGACACAATTTTTCTGATTCTTCACATAAGCAATGGACCTGACTTGAGGTTGAGGGTGAATTATAAAGCTAACTTTCTGAAAGGTGGATTCTGAGGTTTCTGCAATTTTCTATGTCTTTATTGGTTTAACCATTTGAAAGAAGAACCTCAAGGGCTTTTTTTCCTTTTTAGTTTTGTGTAACATGTCAAGTACTTGCTGTGAATGAGCCTAGCCTACATGTGCATTGTCACTCAGCTGCTTTCTTTTATCTCCATTACTCTCTTTTCTAGAAGAAAGAAAAAGAAGAAAACTTGGCCTAGCCAAGATTTTAGAAGATCATTGGTAATAGAGACAATCCCAAGAGATATAATTGTACAATAGGACCACTAGCACACAACACACGGTTGGAAGTGGGGGCGATTCTTACTTACTTTTTCAAGGGATTGAAGGAAATGTCTGTGTCCTGACAGAACTTTGAGCAACATGTATATCATGCAATTGCAGGTCTCACACTCATCAACCATGTCATGTACTGCTAGTTTCATATAGCAAAAAGTACATAAAATAATTGTTAAGAAAGAAAGTCTCAGTTAAGCGAAGCCATCCCTTCTGATGTCTGAATCCATTATCAAGATTCTGCAGAAAGAAATTTAAAGGGTGATAGTTATAAGGTACATTAGTGGCTTTTGTTGTTTGCATCTGCATTAAATATAAGTTGCTAGAAATTGCAAAATTAGTTGCTCAGCATTGTCAAATTAAACTTCTATTATGACTGGCCCAAAAAAAATTGCGTTATTAGTGCGTCATAGATCATAGAAGAAGCGAAGCAGCCAGAGATTTTGGATTTTGGGTCAGGTGCTCAATATTTCTCAATTTTTGGAAAGAAATTCTATATATCAAGATTTAGCAACGTTAGCACGAGATAGCTACAATACATCTGCTTCACTAATTCGAATATTTACCGGTGATACACACAGATTTTGGTTAAAAAGAAGGAAGCAAATGCCAAATTATGCTGCCAAATCTTGATAGTGTGGTTAAAACCTGAATTAATAGGTTTTTCTTTCAAGCAAGACATGTTATTAAAGAAGGATTTAAATCTGATTCCCATTTTTAGCCTGCATACGTAAGAGGAAAACTGGGCAAGTTTATATTCACGAAATAAATTATTTATCAGCTTGTTTAAATATTATCTTAGATTTTTCATAAAATTTATTAGCATAGGCTCTTTGGGAACCAAACTCCAATGCAAATTACGCTAAAAAAAGTTGAAGCATCATTACATTGAATTACGACATATTTCCCGAGATTAAAACATTTTAGACATTTTTCAGAAAATAAGGAAACTAAAATCTGATGCTGCAAAACTAATTAAAACATGACCTGTTACACATAACTTCCAAAATAATAAAATTACGCTCCATCAATCTTCCTCTTTAAATTTCTCGAAAGCAGTACTGCCTTCTCTTGGTGTCAGATTCTATTGTTTCCAAAATCAGATTTCCCATAACTCCACAGTAATTGAGGTGCCATTTTTGTTCATGAGTAGAAGGTTGGTCCATGCTGATGCTGTAATGTATTACTTCCTTATAGTGTTTATGGAATGAACGATAAATGATGCAATAAAGGTGGTAATAGCTATTCAGTCCATACACGTAAGTGCCGACCTCATCTTTTTCAAAACCAGAAGTCTCACCATTTTAAGTGTTTTTTTGCTACAACTGTCAGAATTTGGCAATAAGGGTAGAAAATCCCAAGATTTTACTTAAATGGATTCTGATTTCTCATCGTCATACTTTAACAGACCAGTTGCTTTATTAAAGATTTTTGTCACTTACCATAAGCAACAGAGACATATCTGCATGACTTTAGGCAGAGTGTTTTCCTAAGAGTTGGAGCATATTTCATTTGTCGGTGATTCTTTGGAAAAAGTCTGTGGGGTTCATGTCTATGAAGAATTTTACCTATAAATGAGCGATTTCTGATGGAAGAATTAATGAAAAGGTGAAGCTGCTTGGTTTTCTGCTCTATTCTTTGTTTTCTTGTTCTCCTCCTTTCTGAGTTCCCTCGATCAAATTTGAACTGCATTACCCTTTTTCTGAATAAGAATTTGTAATCTTGCCTTCTCTTTCTCCTCCTTTTTCTTTTTTAATTTGTTCCTCAATGGTTCATTAGCAGATAGTTTTTGGGTTTAGGTGTTTCTCTTCCATTTTTTGGTTCAATTATCTTTGCTATCCCTTTTCTGCCATTTGCTTTTCGGTTTTTACCTGATCGACCTCAGTCTCTGTTGATGTCTATCTTTAAACGTTGAATTAGAAATTGCTGTTGATCCTCAATTTGTATTTAGATTTGTGGATCAGTTTCTTCATTGGAATCTGCCGGTAGGGGTGTGCAAAAGAACCGGGACCCGCCCGGAACCGCCCGGAACCGGACCGGAACCGGTGGTTCCCAAGGGAACCGGTCCGGTTCCCGGTTCCAATTTTTTGGAACCGGTACTGTTTGGGTTCCCGGTTCCCGGTGTGGAACCGCCCACCCGGACCGGACCGGTAATATAATAATAATATATTTTATTTTTTTAATTTTTAATTAAAAAAATCTGACCAAAAAAAATTTAAAAAAAGAAGAAAATTTGTTATCATGTCTGAAGCTCTTGTGTAGTTGGGATACCTTGGTCATTTTTCCCAATAATTAATGGGTACCCACTTGATTTATGGATGATGTGATTAATATAATCGATCATAGTGTAGGAATTGTATGAAAAGTTATGTTCTTTTCCTTTTGTTCTGTTGATCCGATGTTGGTCCACAGATTTTTTTTTTTTTTATTTGTCTAGGAAAACTTGTTGAGACCGGTTCCATGGACCCGCCCAAGAACCGGACCGGACCGGCGGTCCGGTTCTCGGGCGGGTCCATGGAACCGACGGGCGGTTCTCGGTTCCAATTTTTGGAACCGGTCCTGTAGCGGGCGGTCCACGGTTCCGGGGTGGGAACCGCCCACCCGGACCATGCACACCCCTATCTGCCGGTACTGATTGAAATTTGTGATTCAACTAATTGATTCATTGCCTTTATGAGAAAGAGAATTTGGGCATCTCAAATCATCCTTTTTTGATCTTTTTTTTCTTTTTTCTTGGGCTTGAATAGCATACAGAATCATGTGATTGCTTTGCTTTTGACAGCCTCCTTCTTACCTTTGTGCGGGAAGCTCCTGTTTGTTGTTGATCCATTCTTAGTTACACTTTGCTGGGAAGCTCTTCTGAAGTTTCTCGATTGATCATCTTAAAATGGATAGACCATAGTTGTCTGAATTCCTGGTAGTTCGAAGCGCATTTGCTGAAAGGTGAGGCTATTGAGACTCAGAATCTGGTCATGAGCCCTGGAATTTGGATAAAAACAAAAAGGAACCACAAAGATGAAGTTTATGAAACTTGGGACAAGGCCAGACACATTTTACACGGAAGAAGCAACAAGTTACAGATAGTGAACAAAGATGGAGACCCTTTTTTTGCATATACTGATGAAAGTTGTGATTGACATCTTAGTTTGGACAAACATTTGCAGAACTGTGACTTAAGATACACCGACGGACCTAATTTTACGAATCAACAACATCAATTATCTTCTCCATAAGGTACAGGTTCAGAAAGCCCTACTCAACATAAATATTAGGACAACTCAATGCTGCTGATATTAGTTTTGAATTATGGAGCGGAAATAAATCTACGTGTGCGTAAATCACATAGCAGATGATGAAACTTTTTAGAATTCATGAACACAATCTCATCTTCAGATAGAAAAAGGAATGCATTGAAAACTCATGAGTGTACATAACTTTTTATGTTACTTGAATTGTTTTCGTTTTTTCTGCTCAGTTAACACAGAGCTTTTAGTTGCAGTTTGCTCTGCTACCAAAATGCGGTCTCTTACAACAGCTTTGCCCAACGGATGATGGTGAAATCACCATAGATCACCACGACATTCCTGGAGGTGAAGAGGCTTTTGAGTTGTGTGCTAAATATTGCTACGGAATTACCATCAACTTCAGCGCGTATAACTTTCTACCTGTATTTTGCGCTGCCAAGTTCCTCCGGATGACCGAAGCGGTGGAAAAAGGAAATTTTGTGCTGAAGCTCGAGGCTTTCTTCCATCTGTGCACCCTCGAGGGCTGGAAGGACTCCATCATCACGCTTCAGACTACAATCAAATTACCTGAATGGTCTGAATCTCTTGGAATTGCTAAGAGGTGCATGGACTCAATTGTGGAGAAAATTCTCACTCCTTCACCAAAGGTTAAGGCATTTCTTGTTAACCTACTTTCGCTTCATTTATACAAATTTTCAGCGGAAAGAATATAACAAAAGTTGTAACATATACGCAGGTCACATGGTCTTATACTTATACGAGACCAGGATATGACAAGAAACATCGCCAATCCGTACCTCGTGACTGGTGGACAGAAGATATTTCTGATCTAGACATAGACCTGTTCCGATATATTATCGTTGCAGTACGATCGACCAATATGTTTCCTTCACAGCTTATTGGTGAAGCTTTGCATGTCTATGCCTCTCGCTGGCTACCAGACACGATGAGGACTAGGACTATCGGAAGTGCTGCATCACAACCAGAAGAAATCACAGTGAAGAAACGGCGAATCCTAGAGGTTATTGTGAGCATGATCCCAGCGGAGCGGGGTTCTCTTTCAATTAATTTCCTGCTAAGGCTTCTGAGTCTTGCAAACTATCTAGGATCATCTCCATTAACTAAAACTGAACTCATCCGGAGGTCCAGTCAACAGTTGGAAGAGGCGGCGGTGAGCGATCTGCTGTTTCCTTCTTATTCCACATCAGACCAACACTTATACGATGTGGAATTGGTACGGTCAGTGTTGGAAAGTTTTTGGGTACTGTGGAGAAGACAAGCTCCTGGACCTTCAGAGAAGGGAGAGTCTATGAGATCAGTTAGGAAGGTCGGGAAGCTCATTGATTCTTATCTTCAAGTGATATCCAAGGATGTCAACATGCCTGTGTCGAAAGTAGTATCTCTTGCCGAATGCTTGCCAGATATTGCCAGGCCACTGCATGATGACTTCTACAAAGCTATTAACATCTACCTGAAGGTAATATCTTTGAAGCATTGCACATAGATAGAAACATTGGAGAAATAGTGTAGATGTTCTTATCTTGACTATCAAGGTGCTCGTGTGTTTGTTGGATGGCTTAACAATTGGCTTCATGCTTCTTCATGTGCTAGCAAGAGCATCCTGATTTGTCCAAAGCCGACAAGAAGTTCCCCTGTCGAATTTTAGATTGCCAGAAGCTGTCTCTGGAGGTACGGGCGCATGCCGTGAAGAACGAGCGCCTGCCCTTGCGGACCGTGGTTCAAGCCCTCTTCTTCAACCAAGAGAAAACCGCGAGGGGAGCAACAACACCTCATAATAGCTTGGCTTCATATGACGCCACAACTTGGGGAAAGGAGACACTCGCTGCAAGAGAAGATCAAGGCAAGGAAAAGCTAAGCCCGGAAGTTCGATTTCCGAGAGCAGATGGCCCGACAATATTCGTAGCCGAAATCAGCACAACAGATCATCCTAGGAGAATGCAACCGGACATGAATCTACCGCGAGAATTGGAGAGGAAGTTGGTGATGAGGGAGACAGAGGAAGGAGTAGAGTCATCAGAGAAGGCAAAGGATGTTGCCGAAGAGGAAAGATCGCAAAGAAGCATGTCGGACCCCCATAAGATCAGGAAAAGAACTGGCAGATCGGATCGTGGCCATAATAAAGGGCGAGAGAGATAGCGAATTGGCTGATGGTCGTATATATCAGCAAGAAGCATTGTAATACACTTAAGGAGGATCTGTAACTTCTCCTATGCCCATCAATTAGTTTGGTTCTGAGTCATCATTTACAATGTAATCTACAATTTGTACGTTCGGCTCGCGCACCGTCCCTTCATTCCTTCAGTCTACCAAATCCGATACACCCATTTCAAGATTCGACGTGATCGTGCCGTGAGTCCCGGTTGGTTTCTTGGGTTGGTAGTTGCAGAGGCTGGTGATGGCGGAGAAGGGAGGAAATGGGTCTTCAGTGCCCAGTCAGGCGGTCAAGTACTCGCTCAAATCTGCAACATCCAACAGAGGTAAAAGTACTGTGACCCATTTCACTTCCTTCTGATTCTCTCATTTGTAGCAATCAGCCTGTTGCTGTTCTTGGTTTATGTTAAGAATTCCATGGTTGTGTGTCTTTGACATGTAGCATCTGCGAAAGGCAAGGACGATAGCTCTGGGAAACCCAAGAAGGCGAGGAAGGTTCAGTTTGTTTCCGAAGGTTTGCATCTTTTTATTTCTTTTAGCTTTCGGGTTTAATTCCTTGTTACTTGTAAGTGGTTGGAGATGTGGCTTCTGTGACTTTCCATGATTTGCTCCATTTTCTTGCAATATGATGTTTCCTTGTGGTGCTATTTGCGTAGGTCTGGGGGATGGAATTTTCGGCTTCTCATCCGGTGGCAAAGTGGACAGTTTGTTGAATAAATGTCCGGTTCCGAGTCATCATTTTCGGGCTATTTCGGTGGATTTATTGCTTGGCAGTTCCATGTGGTTTCTGTTGTTTGCAATGTGTTATGTGGTACTCACTGCGTGCTGATTATTTTGTCCTGGCAATCTGTGTATTCTCTTAGTGAATTTGGGCAAAGGAGGGAAAGGAGATAAGACTGGCAAGGCTGCAAAAAGTTCCGCCCCCAAAGAACTGCTTCCTCTAGAGCTCAGATTTGAGCACGGTACGTTTTTGGCCACGCCACGTCCTTTTTTTAGTGGTGCAGATTGAATTCTTAGTTATGGGTTACTACAACCTCTGACTGGGGGGTTTAACTTCACGCGTGGAGCTTCACTTGAATTCGGTTGTTTTAGCTATGAAAATCCACAATGAAATGAGATCAATAATGGTCCTAAATTTTTTTTTATATGAAATATTTGGGTTCAAGCAAGACGGGCTTGGTAAAAAGGCATTCTAGTTAATACGAATGGAGAGACAGATGCTTTTCAAATTACTTATACCTCTATGAGTTAATGAATGTACCCAATCCTTGGCTCATGATTGTAAGCTTACATCCGCATGTCGGTAACCTGTATGATTGTTCCGTTTCTGACTTACTAGAGTCTGATTGGACTTCAGCAAATTCATTTTAGACTGTGGAGTCGCGGTTTTTCCTCTTCTGGCCAAAGAGCAGAGTTGTATTGGGTTCTTCAGTCAATTGTGCAAATTGGCAATGATGCTACATGTGAATAATACTTTACCTTTTCGTCAATTTTTAGGTTTAGTTTAGACTAGTTACCATGTTTGGTATGCTCCCTGATCTTGTCAATTATTGAATTTGTAGAACTCCCAAAACATGCCAAATGTCTGATGGACTGTGAAGCTACTGAAATCTTGCAAGGAATCCAGGAGCAAATGGTCATATTGTCTGAGGATCCAACAATCAAAATTCCTGTGTAAGGAGTACATTCTTATGAGTATTCTTTTGATCCTCCTATTTCAACATACCTGAGTTAACTGCCGTTTCAGATCCTTTGACTGTGGATTGCAGTATGCCAAAAATGGAATTCATTATGCAGATCGAGCATCAGTTAGAAGAGCTCTAGAGTATCCTTGTTTTTTAAGTTTCTTTTGAGTGCTTTAATTATGTGATTACTATTTCTCCTAATGAGGTCACATGCTATGGATAAAATGTTGTTAACCATTAACTCAACTTGAAGGCCTCTTACACAATATGGTGTCACTGAAGGCGAGGTACTAATCTCAACTTTTTGGGTGCCTTTTCTTAAGACACAGTGCCATTAATCTCAGATTTGGTGCAGATATGTGTCATTGGGAATGTCTGTCCAGAAACGCCGGATGAAGTTTTTGCTCTTGTTCCATCCTTGAAGGTACTCTATGAACTTGCTTTAAGATCTGTAGCTCGCCATGGACAATTTCCGATGTGGCTGGTAAGCTGCATTTGTAGAGACAACTTGAGCACCTCTGTTTGAAGCTGTTTTCATCTTCTGAAAGGCTTTTCTTTTGTATGTTCCATTAGTGGAATATTTGTGCCGGATAATTGTGAGAATCAAGCATGGCAGGACATGGTAATATCATTTTGAAATGAAGAATTGAATGCAAGTTCCAAGTTTTGAGTCAACATTTCATGTTGTGGAATCATAGGGTTCTTTTCACGAGGGAGCTTTTGATTTGGAGTCACCAGTTAAAAGAACTTTAGATGTTGTCCAACTTGAGTTATTGAAGTTTCGGCTTTTTGTTTACAATTCATGTAGGGGTAACATGTGTATAAATATTCCTGCATGCTAAAAACTAGAGACATCGTAAAAGTCTCTGTATATGTCATTCTATCTCCTTATGGCCATGTTTGCCATTCGGCTTTGCAAGCCATTTTTGTCAACCCATTGATTCCTTATTTAAGTGTTTAGAAAAGGAAACTCGTCTAGACAACTATACTATTTGGAACCGATTCTGGTTGTATTATCCTTCTAGCTGCCTCCTTGTCATCATTACTGCTACCTTGTCTTTAGATAAATTTTGACCCCAAGTTTTGTGCAGGCTAAGAAAAGCAAGCTCGCTGAGCCTCTCAAAGATGTTCTGGCTGAACTAGTTAAGCTCAAAAAGGCAACATGACAGCCCAGCAGAGATCTGCAGTAAGATACTGCAGTTGCTGATTGACTGACATGGCTTCTTCTCCGTTCTTGCTTTTCCTTGATGCTGATTACCGCCTGGTCTTTAATGTTGATTGCAGGTTCTCTTGTTTATAATCTTTACTGTATTTGCTGCTCTCGGACTCAGGGTAGAGTAGTTCGGTGGGTTAGGTTGTGTGTATAGCTTCCCCTAGCAGAACATGAAGCAGCATCCTCTGGACTTTCCTGCATCATTTTGTCACTTGTCGGATTCAGTAATTTACTTGAATTCAGAGATGTAAGGTTTATCCTTGAGGAAAGTGTTACTGATATTTTTAAAGTGCACTGTGCATATGTGTTGACTCCCTGAGCACGATAGTGTCTTTTTATAATATGCATAACGATCATCTCATGTACTCACCTCGTCTTCTCGTTGTTTTGAGCCAATGAAGTTGGTGCCATGAGCAATTCATTCACCGTACCCGAACCGTCATCTCGATGGAAGAGTTCACTAAGTGAGGTTTTCATGCAGTTCATTTCCAATCTTTAGCGCTCTCTCTGTTTCTCGAGCTGAACATAAAAAGTCCATCCTTTCATTGTCATTTTCCAATCATGGGTCTTTTATGACTAAAGGTCGAGTTTAATAGTCATAGCATATGAGATATTTAAATTTAAATGTACACCATTCCCATAATTAGCTAGTTGCTATGTTATCCAATTTCGCATTACGGCTTTATTTATGTTTTTCTAAATCACTATGTAGTTATAATTCACAGAGAGTATTCCTGAAACTTTTGGGTTAAAAGCTTTTGAGATTAGAAGCGAGTGAACTGTTATAGCAGCCGTCTGATTCCTGATTATAGAAGACTCAATTGCCAATGACTCACCAGTTATGGACATTGATAACTAGACAAACAGAATCTTAGATTCGCGCAGTTTGTCTATTGATCATTTAATGTCTTGTTTTAGCCAGTTGAGGACTTAAAATTTAAAAAACTCAGTTTGCCGTCAGTAGAATTCAAGTATTGGAATTCTTATACTTCACACAATTTAAGTAATTACAGTAATTGAGAATCAGGCCGGCTTCAAGAAGCAATGGAACATGATATTATTGATGAGTTACATGGGGTAATAAAGGATGAGCCATATCGTGAATCTAAGGGCCCCTTCCCAGATACTCCTGCACACGTCGCCGTGCCCACTGGGGGAAACGCAAGTGACCATGGAGATGGCCATCTTGAAGCCGTGGTTCTCTCGGAAGTTGAATCGAGAGAGTCATAGCTCCGTGGGGCTTTGCAAAACAACCTTCAAAAAAGGAAAATTTAAAAAAAAGTGACAATATGAGTATGTAGATTATCTTTAATTATCTTCGTTTAATTTAATGCATATACATGGGCCCGTTTCAAAACCCAATCAAGCGTTGGAAATTAAAAATTTAGCACTAAATGAGATTAAATTTGCATGATAATCATAATTAATATTTGCCTTAAAAGACTCGATTCAGTCAAAACATTCGCTTAATTTAATTATCAGTACTATGGATAATAACTCGAATCTTCCGAATTACGAAACCTGTCAAATCGATATTTAAAAAGAAATTAATGATATTTGGTGATTTACTTTAATTGTTATTGGTTTATTTCTATTTTCAGCCTCTAAATATCAACACTTACGCTTATTTTTCAGTTTTATTAAAACTATGAGCATGCTTCTACTCTGAGTTCATTTTAGATGGCCTAAAAAAAAATTGGTGGAGGATGTGGAGGATAAGGAAGCAAAACATGATATTGATGTAGAGATCACCTTGTTTATAGTTTATTAAGTGAATAGTAAAGGTATGATCAAAATTGTTCCCTTCCAACCCCTATAAAACTTAATTTTTATTGAGCTCTAAATCTGTCCAAGTTGGATGGTTTTGGATGCTTAATTTTGTTTTTCCCTATTTATCAGCAGCATCTCTTTCCTTTTTCTGATATCAATCCATTTGAACAGATTGTAAGAGATAGAAGCTAGTGAAATGGAAGCTAACAAGGACAATCCAACACCACAATAAAACAACCAATTTAGGTCGGGAGTCTTAATGAACTAGATCGTAGAGAGAAAGTTTAGAGAAAGAAGTTTTGGGAGAGAATGCTTTATATTGCTTCAATTGGTGAATGATTTTAGGGGGAGAACACTCCTATTTATACAAAGACTTGATTCATTACATTTGTGATCGAATCTCGATCAAGTGGTCAATATCGCATCTTCCAATCTACCAACTACCGATACTTAATGCAAGAGAATTCTAGAACACGATACAATTACCGTATCGCCGGTCCTTTGGAACATTCTGGAAGCTCTTGAAAATTTGGACGAGTCTTCATTGATTTCACATGGTCCTTAGTGCATGGAAACCTCGAGACTGTGACATAAACCTGTCCAAGGTTGTCTTTCTCTACATAGCAAAAAAGCTCATGTACAACATGTAATTGAATTTTAAACATTTTCAATTAATGTGAATTCACTATTTACAACTCACATGGGTAATTCGTAGCTATTACTTATATAATTTATGGTGAATGAACTAAATCGCAATTATTGAAAGGATTCAAGAATTTATTACTTTGGTTGAAGTAATTCCATTTTATAAGTAAGGTTTAGTAAACTTTTCCCCTTTGTATAGTGGTCATTGCATCACCATCATAATTGAAACTTATATGGCATGAGCTCACTATGTGCACAATAGTAGAGCCTTTGACAAAGTAGTGAATGAAATTGAAGGGATACATGCTTCATTTTGTTCCTTTTGCATTTCTTCTTCCTATGTACGTGTGGGAATGGCACATCCAAGTTCTGAACCAAATCGATGCCACAAGGAGACGGGTGGGCAACTTCCTAGGATCAAAGGATCGGAAATAACTCGCAAGTACTATTTACTTTAGCTATTCTTGTCGCGTGTGCATATAATCTGTGTTTCTCGTCTTGAGGTTTACAACAAATACTCTTTTTTATTAGTTGCATGTAACGGACGCATCTATTAATTTCTGGATTCGTTAAAGATCTTTGATCTTGCAAGAAGTCGGGCTTCGAATAGCTTTTCTCCAAATTCTATCTCATATAATGACGCCGTGGAAACGAAAAGCACCAAGTCGCAGCTCACAAGTACGAACGCTCGAAGCTTACACACACAAAACAATTAGAGGGAAAATTTCTCTATTTTTTGTATTTCTAGAAAGAGGCAAATCGCACGATTCGACAAAACACAACTAATATGCATGGTTGTAACCCTTTTTTTAGAAAAACCTAGATAAACCTAACAAAAAACTAGATCCTATGGCATCTTCTAATAAAAAATATGACATCTTATCACATTTAAAAAGTCAAACTAATAAAAAAAACCAATAAATTTAGGTTTGTTATATACTAAGTGAATATTCTAAACCAACTTAATTAAAGAAGGAAATAACAAATTTCAAAACCCGAAATTTATCAAATAAAAGAGGTAAATCCAAGCTTGAGGTACCCCACCTCATAGTCCCTTTGTTAGAAAAAGAGCTCAACCTTGAGTTTTTAAAATGTCAGATTATCTTAAAAAGAATATATGCTAAAATTCTCATGGATTTTGAGCCATATCCGCAAAATCAATCAAATTTCTTGCTTTTTAGAAAATATCCCAACCAAAGTTCAAGATCGATCTATCAATTGATTCTTTAAATTCCTGGTATAAGGAAACCGATTTTGGATCAACTATTATCCTTTCCATTTTCTATTGCTTCAAATTTTCTCGCTGAAATCTCATTTGTGTCTCAAATAAGATCAACATGAGAGTCGCTTTTCTCCAAATCATCTCTCCATCTACGTTGGAACTAACAAAGGCGTTCTAGGTAAGAGGTCTGGTGTTAGGGAATTAGTACCGACTAAGTGAACTTGAAACCTATTGGAAGATTGAATAAAGGGCACTCGAACACTATTCTACTTAGAGCCTCCTCAAGAGTTGATTCGCGCTTTGTTAAGTGACAAAGTAGGGATAGTAAATTTTAGACGTTAATTTGTATTATGTTTACTTTTATTTACCAAAAAAAAAACATTAAAGAGGAACAAGTGAGGAAGAATCCACCAATTACTCACCCAGTTTATGGATATTAATCTAATTTTCTGGACAGCAATAGAAGTAAGTGCGAAAAACAAGACTTAAATTTTGTGCAGTTGGTTAATAGAGAATTTAAAATGTCATTTTGGCCACTTGAGAAATTAAAATTTTATGAAATCTTCAAATAAATGTTAAGTTCACGACCAGTGGAATTCTAGCATTGAAATTCTTATACTCCACACAATTTAACTACTTACCATCATTGCGTGCCAGTGCGGGTGTAGTTGTGATTTATCGATATGGCCTCAGCTGCTACTCCCCCACGACGATATTACAAATACCAAAAGAAATTGTGATACCACAAATTATTGGCTTAGTATTGATTACACTTGTTCGATTAAAGTATTGAATTATTTTGTCAACTTCTGATTAATGTTAAATTATTTTGTCACCGCGGATCACGCATGTAATATTCCCGACGGAGAAAGACCACCCAACCAATTGAGCTGTTCCACCGGGATCAATTGAGCTGTTCCACACAATTTAACTACTTACCATCATAGCGTGCCAGTCTGGGTGTAGTTATGATTTATCGATGCGGCCTCGGCTGCTACTCCCCCACGACGATATTACAAATACCTAAAGAAATTGTGATACCACAAATTATTGGCTTGGTATTGATTACACTTGTACGATTAAAGTATTGAATTATTTTGTCAACTTCTTATTAATGTTAAATTATTTTGTCACCGCGGATCATGCATATAATATTCCCGACGGAGAAAGACAACCCAACTAATTGAGCTGTTCCACCGAGGATCAATTGAGCTGTTCCACACAATTTAACTACTTACTATCATAGCGTGCCAGCACTGGGTGTAGTTATGATTTATCGATGTGGCCTCAGCTGCTACTCTCCCACGACGATATTACAAATACCAAAAGAAATTGTGATACCACAAATTATTGGCTTAGTATTGATTACACTTGTTCGATTAAAGTATTGAATTATTTTGTCAACTTCTTATTAATGTTAAATTATTTTGTCACCGCGGATCACGCATGTAATATTCCCGACGGAGAAAGACCACCCAACCAATTGAGCTGTTCCCGGGATCATTGAGCTGTTCCACACAATTTAACTACTTACCATCATTGCGTGCCAGTCTGGGTGTAGTTATGATTTATCGATGCGGCCTCGGCTGCTACTCCCCCACGACGATATTACAAATACCTAAAGAAATTGTGATACCACAAATTATTGGCTTAGTATTGATTACACTTGTTCGATTAAAGTATTGAATTATTTTGTCAACTTCTGATTAATGTTAAATTATTTTGTCACCGCGGCTCACGCATGTAATATTCCCGACGGAGAAAGACCACCCAACCAATTGAGCGGTTCCACCAGGATCAATCATAAACAATGACTCACCTAAGTAAATTTGCGTTGACTAGGGCACTATTTATGATTTTGCAAGTTCGCTACACGTACTTCCATCGATCGTCAACGAGCAAACGCCCTCTTCTCCTACATTTCCCTCATCAAAACAATGTCCCTTCAAGAAGCAATAGCAGCTGATAATGTCAATGAGCTCTACAGTTCAATTGAGCGGGACGAAAATATCTTAGATCATGGATCTGAGGGCCCATTCCCCAATACTCCACTACACGATGCCGCAGACAAGGGAAAAACAAAAGTGGCCATGGAGATAGCCATCTTGAAGCCATCGTTTGCTCGAAAGCTGAATCGAGGGGGTCACAGCCCCATGCACTTGGCTTTGCACAAGAAGCATTATCACACTGCGATGGCACTTATGACCCTCGACCCCAAGTTGATTCGAGTCCGAGGACGAGGCGGGATCACCCCTTTGCATTTTGTAGCCGGGGAAAAAGGAGAGAATGAGCAGGAGGACGTGGAGCTCTTGGAACTCCTGACCGAATTCCTATCTACTTGTAAATCATCCATCGAAGACTTGACGGGCCAGTGTGAGACAGCGGTTCACGTTGCCCTCAAGAACCACAACCTCGAAGCATTCAAGGTTTTGTTTGGATGGCTTAAGCGAGTCCGTCTGACAAAAATCTTGGATTGGAAAGACCAAGATGGTAACACCGTCTTACATATTGCTGCATCCGGAGAGCAGCTCGAGGTATAGTTCATTGGTTTCATAGTTATTCATGCTTTTATTGTTCTATCCTTCAATTTGACACAATCTTATCCACACATATAATGGTAATAAGTAAATGGTTTTAGAAAACATTCAGAATTAGGAGATCTAAATGGGGTCACCTTGTTTGGCTTTTTTTGATGGAGAGAACAAAAGGAATTAGGAGGGATTGCGGTCAACTCCATCCCTCCCAATCTTCCACCTCCAATTCTCCTTTTGACAATTTCCCCGTGCACTTGGTCACGGGAGGGTAGGCTCTACCCTAGTATTGAATGCAGTTTTTACACAGGTGGATCCATTCTTTTATCTTCATTTGTTTCCTTAGTGATTATTCTAATCATTTCATTTCTCTCATCCATTCTTTTATCTTCATTTGTTTCCTTAGTGATTGTTCTAATCATTTCATTTCTCTCAAAATCACTCACCATCCAAACATATAATAGACTTTTTATGCCATTCAGATGGGTCGTAAAAATTAGGTCAACAAGTGGTGCTTCTAATATAAAAAAAAAAGTCAAATACTCATTAAGATATTTATTATATGAGTATGTAGATTGTTTTTCATTTTTTTGGTTTAATATATACATATGGGCATGTTTGAAATTTAAATTAAGCTCTCGAAATTAAAAATTAAGCAATGTATTAGATTAAATTTGTACGATAATCCTAATTAGGGGAGAATTATAAAAAAAAGTCTTAAATCTATTGTAGATTGTGATAGTTCATTTTCGTAAGTTATTTCTGCTTTTGCCAATTGTTCGAGCCTTTTCACTTTGCGTAATCTTCCGAACGTCTATAATGGTCATAGTCAATTTTGGCTAGAAAATATTCAGAATGAGGAGATTTGAACGGGACCACCATGTTTGGTTACATTATTTTTTAGATAATATTTTAACATTTTTTAAATTTTTTTATATTTATATTTTTCCTTTCCATCTTCTTTTTCTTTCATTCTCCTTTTGACAATTTCCCCGTGCACTTGGCCGACGAGAGGTTGCTAGGCTCTACCCTAGTACTGAAGGGCTTTTACAAGCAAGGGTTGGAACCTTCGTTTAGCTTCATTGGAAGTTCAGGGAAAAAAATAAAGAAAGGAAAGAAAATAAAATAAAAAAGAAAAAAGAAAAATAAATAAATAATTCAAAAACATTAAAATTTGTATTAATAAGGCCACGTTAGCGCGTTATTTATAATAAGATAGTCGGAGTACTCACATCGATGATTTTTCACCAAAATGAGCATGTAGATGGACTCAATTGGCAAAACGTAAAAAATGTTTAGTGTTCAATTGGCAAAAAAAAGTTTAGGATTGAATTGGCACAATTGCAGTATGTTTAGAAATTTTTTGGTAATTTTCCATCCTAATTAGTGTCCGACTTAAAGACTCAATTCAGTCAAAACATTCAGGTAATCTAATAATCAGTATAATGGACAGTAATTAGAATCTTCTCACTTATGTTGTTAAAACCTATCAATAGTAATCACAGTTCCATGTTTGGTAAGAAATTAATCATATTCATTGATGTATTTTAATTATCAAAAAACAATTTTTTATATCTATTTTCATTGCTTAAGATTATCAGTGCTAGCGCTTACTTTTTAATTTTATCAAAACAGGCCCATAATTTCACTTCAAAAAGTGGGAAAAATATTTTAAGCTCGAGATGCTTCCACCTTGTGTTCACTTAATTGGCCTAACAATGTTTTGTTTGGAGGAGGTAGATAAAAAGTAACGAAAGAAAAGGCGTGACATAGAGAGAGATCACCTTGTTTACAGTATATTAAGTGGAGAAAATAGGAATGATTAAAATTGTTTCCCTTCGAACCCCAGAAAAACGCAGTTATTAGTGAGCTCTAAATCTCTATTGGTTAGATGGTTTTGGATGAATAATTTCCTTCCAACTCTTTCCATCATGATCACTCATACCTAACACAATAATAACTTACTTAATTCTTTTCTATTATTTTATTTTTCATATTGATTAGCAAAGTCTTTTTCCTTCTTTTGAAATCAGTCCATCCGAACATATTGTACGAGATAGAAGCTAGTGAAATGGAAGCTAATAAAGACAATATGACACGACCATAAAATAATATCTTTGTAGATCGGAAAATTACTCCATGATCAGTTGAATCCTATGCATCAAAGGTATAAATATACCTATCTTAGGAAGTCTCTCTCTTCATTGCTAGAGAACTAATATACAAAATGAGATTGAATTCTAAGCCTTTCAATTGAAGTAATCAAGGCTTATACTCTTATGAAAGTTCATAGTTATTGGGGTCATCACTTTTGTGGATTCGCCGATATTATAATTCACATGGGATATTTCTAAATACCACATAAAAAATTTCAAGTAAAAGGACTAAATCTCACTTTTTGAAAAAAATTTGGAACTTCAGTACTTCGATTTAAATAATTGAATTTGATACATCAGTTAGTAAACTTTTTCCCTTTGTTCATCGACTGTTGCATCACTTGCATCATTCAAACATATATGGCATGAGCTCACTTTGTGTACGATTGTAAAGCCCGTAACAAAGCAATGATTGATATTGAAGTGATACATACTTCATTTTGTTCCCTTTTCTTCCAGATCATCAATATGTTGATGTGGTATACGAAAGTAAATGCGAAGAACGTCCAGAAGAGGACGGCTCTGGACATCTTCCAAGAGAATCCTCATTTTAATGAAGATGTTGCGAAGAGTTTACACCTAAGATCTACTCCTGCCCTCCCTCTATCACAGTTTTTTAGCAAGGAACTAACTGCCTTTGAGGAGTACTCAAAGTCTCAGGGCATCGAAGATGAAGCGACTCGCAACATAATCCTTGTAGTGGCTACCTTAGTTGCGACTGCCACTTACCAAGCCGTGCTCACTCCGCCAGGAGGATACTGGCCGGATTCCTCTTCAAATCCCCTGGCCAATTCCTCTGTCGTTACTTCCAATTCCAGCGCCATTATTGCTATTGAAAAGCCACATCAAGCCGGAAACATTATACTGAGTGGCGCTTATCTCTATATGTTCGTATATCTCAACAGCGCCGCTTTTTTCGTCTCTGTCGGCTCCATCATGGTCGCTGCTGTTTCACTATGGCCCCATACTCTCATTGTTTACTACGCTTTAACTTGTCTCAGCGTTGCCTACTGTGTTTCCCTTGTGATTGAATTCCCCGCATCCGATGGGGCCATAGGATCTCTCCTGTTTCAGTTTCTTTTGTTCTTTCTGCTCATCACGTTTATGTTGCCCTGGCATTTCTGGCGAAAGCACATCCGAGTTGTATCCGAAGTCGATGCTACAAGGAGACGACAGCTCAGCAACATCCCAGGATTAAAGGAATAATTCGCATGTATTATTTACTCAAGTTACTCGTGTCGACTGTGCATATAAGCTATGTTTCTAGTCTTGAGGTTTGCAAGAACTAGACTCTTCTTATTAGTTGCATACAATGGCCTCATCTATTAATTCCTTAAGCCCTAAAGACCTTTATGAATCTTTTTTTCTTAATATAACTTCATAAAAATGATGCGAGTGGAAACGAAAAGCACTAAAGTGACGAATTGCAAATGTGAACGTCCGAAGCGTACATGCACCGTACGCAAAGAGAGAAATATCTCTATTTTCTTTATTTCTGAAAAGAGGCGAACTATGCCCATAAACACAACAAATAAACACGATTGCAACCTTTTTTCAACAAAGTAAGAGAAAAAGATATCCCAAGAGTATAAAAAATAGCCCAGTTAAACCTTTAAAAACAACTAGATCACGTGGGATCTTCCAATCAAAGATAAGATACCTTCACGCATTTAAAAAGTTCAAAAAATAAAAACATTAAGTTCAACTATTGGATTCTCAATGAAGATCCTAAACTAACTTAATTAAAGAAGGAAATATCAAAATTCAAAATCCTAAGTTCATCCAATATAAGGCATAATACCAAACTTGAGGTGTCCCACATCATTCTCACTTTATTGATAAAAAAGCTCGACCTTGAGTTTTTAAAATTGTCGTTTGCCTGGCAAAGCATATCTACTACAATACTCTTGGAATTCGAAGCCATCCCTGCAAATTCAATCAAATTATTTTTGCTTTAAGAAAAGATCTCAACCAAACTTCAACATATATTGATCCATTAACTGATTCTTTAAAGTTTACAGTATCACGAAATCAATATTAGATCTATTGTAATTCTTTCCATTTTCTATCACTTCAGATTTCTCTGCCGAAATCTCATCTGTGTCTAAATTTAGATCAACATGAGAGGAGCTTTTCTCCAAAATCGTCTCTCCGTACTAATTTAAAAAATGCTCACCCTGACATTCTTCCTCGAGCTCAAAATGCTCCAAATCCTCCGGTTCTTGAAAAGGAAATTCCAAAACTTCGACTTTTTGCTCTTGAGGCTCAACATGAAACTGGCTTGTTTTCCGATCAGCTCGATCATCAATCCACGAAGAGCGCCGTCTTCACATATTTCCCATTTGATGACACATTCTAATCAGCGCTTTAACAACATATATATAGTGCTAATATTTGGACATTCTTTTCTTTTTTAGCATGTAATATTTGTATTATCCCTTGGCAACTTTTCATTGGGCATAAATTATACACGTGGCAAGTGATTAGACATGTGTCACGAGTGCAAGTTGGCCACGACCAAAATTTTAAAATGAGCGATTGAACGTGCGGCCCCACGGCATTAATACACCTTAATCGAAAAACATTTTAAATATGTAATCAAACCCGAGTTTTTCTCATATCTTTAATAGGTACAATAATGACTGACAAAAAAAAAAAGGTACAATGGTGTTGAAAATCCACGAGTACATGAACATCTTCCAGTTAGTAGAGAGAATTTTTTAAATTAGATTGAAAATGATATTACATTAAACTTCATTAATTTAAATCAAACCTTATTAAATGCTATAATTTTTCAATCAATTGTTACTTTGTTTGGCTTTGCCGACTTTCCTCCAATTCGACCGTCGCCCCCTTGCGAAAGCTAAGTAAGGACCGTTTTGTTCCTATATATTGAGAAATAATCTTGGCAAATCAAGCCAAGAGTTGGCCGTCAAACAGGTGGGTTGGGTCGGGTTATAAATGGTTTGATCCAAATTGACAAATTTAACCCGTTTTGGCCCTTTTATTTTTAATGCGAATTTCCCGACCCATACCCAATTCGTCTTGGGATTAATTTTTTAGCATTTTTTCTCCTTAAGCAAGTAAATTTTACAAAACAATCATGTCGTGGGCGAGGAGCCATGCCCAACCATGGCAAGGTTGACCTCGCCGGCCAAGGTAAGAAGGAAAGAAAAAGAAGAGATAGAGAAAAAAAAGAAAAAACGGAAAGTTTTTTCTGAAAAAATATTAAAATATTATTAAAAATTGTCCACATCAGCGCCGACTAGTCAATATTGGCTGGATACACTGAATTGGCACAAATGCAAAATTTTTAGGATTCAATTAATAAAAAAAATGTTTATAACTGAATTTGCACAATTATAATAAGTTTGGGACTTTTTTTTTTTGTAATTTTCCCTTGAATTTTCTGAACTAATTGCTAAATAAATGATTTTAGGACACTGAAAAAAAAAATTTAAGTAGAAGGGCATGCGAGTAATTTTTCACACCTACCGGGCAGATCTATCCACCTAGAGCAAGGACTCGGGGGGCAATTATTTGGAAATACGACTTCCTGACTCGAATCAAGCCCCAGAAAGACCCAATTCAACTAGGCCCCACTTCCCATATTTTTCCTTACATAGTAAGTTTTTAAATGAGTTTCCAAAGGACCCACTTATAACCCATTTGATTGGACTTCAATATTTTAAATCAATTTTGACTCGGCCCATCAAATGTCTAACAACCCATTTACAACCCAACCCCAAATATATAAGTCAAAAAATAAGTGCATGACCCATTTTGATACCTCTAGCCAAGAGGAATCATTGCCCTCTCCTTTTTGAGTTTGGGTTTGGCTTTAGTTTGGTATTGCCTCTTTGTCTTCACTGTGTAGAGAGAGATCCGGCAGATGATTTTACTCTTGATGTGTTGCCAATAAAATTTGAATCAAAATTTTTAGGAGAGAAGCAAACTTTCTTACTATCTAAGGCAACACTTTTATTGATGTTTGAGGATTTTTTCTTTTATCAAGGATGAGGCCTAAAATTAACGTGGATTCTTAAAAACAAACCCACGAATTTAAAAGTAAAAGAGATTTATGTTAACAAGCATTATAAGGGATTTGTGAAGCTTATCTAACACTCCGGAGTTGGAGTTTCTTTTGCTGGTTCAAGGATTCTTCTGATGTCTACTGGTGACTTTGGCCATAGCAGTTCAAAACATACCCGTGGGATTAGCTGTCAGCATGGTATTGGGCATCAACGGGTGCAAATTCTATAAGTACAGGTAACAAATGCATTAAAAGCCACAGTTTTGGATTTGCCCAAGCTAGATGAGACACACATAGGTCCTGATGCTCTCATAAACGTGAGAAAGTTTATTGACACTTAATTTTTTTGCTCTAGATACGCAAGAGACTTCTCACAAAAAGTCTCTTTCTCTTGTGGGCAAAAATTCGATAAGCAAGGGTAGGAAAGTGTTCTGGCTAAAATTGTCATGTGGCCATACGTTTATACTTCCCAAGAATATTGATAAGTGAAATACTCCAAGCTAGTGCTCCTGATCCAAATCTGCCCTCCACATGAAATACCATACTGCTAATAGAGAGTGGATTTGGATCAGGGGCACTAGTTTGAGAATTTTTATGAGCATTTTATGATTGCTAAATTAACATAGAATGATCTCAGACTTTCCAAATTCAGTTAGTCGGCTGGGCCAATTATAATGAATAGAATAGAAGCAGCAGCTTCTACCAGCCAAAGCAAGCTTAAAAAAGGGTAGAGCTCTCTGATCCAGTGCCTCTTTCCTAGGACTGGAAGTTCAAACTCATCCATCCAAAGGAACAAATCCTTGGAGATGTAGGACATGGAGTCGAGACAAGATCATCGTGAGCTGTAAGAAAGGCATCCTTTTGACATTATTCTAAAGTCAATTTGCCAACATTACATAATACAATTTTCCAATTACCTTTGTCTGTATGTACGCTTCGCAACAAGGCATCTTCAAGCGGCATCTTTCTTTCCTCCTCAACCGGAAAGGGAAGAAGAAGTAGCGGCAAAGCTGTCGACTCCACTAGATACATGAGCCGCAGAGGCTCTGGTTTCAGCAAGCGAAGCTCAAGCCTCCCAGAGTTCAGTCATTGAAGAACTCCCCCACCCAGAACTCCAGTTGGAATCCTAAGTAAAACCAAATGGAATAATTCACGAGAAAATCAAATTGCGATTGATAGGGCTTGGGAGAGCTTGTGCGAAGTGCACCTCGCAGGAGGTTATTCGTGCTTGCTTAGCAATCATCAAACTCCCTTGAGAAAGTAAATAAAATATTAGTAGATGGTTCATGCGATAAATCTATAACCTTTATTAAAATAACTGTTGATCTTTCTCGTTTGACATCTACACTGCTTGAATAACCCATCCCCAAAATTAGGTAGTAGCTATTGTATCTAATATTGCATTATGGTTTTTTTTTTCTAAAATGATATGTAGTTATTATTTATAATCAGTGATCCCGAAACTTTTGGGTTAAAAGATCAACTTGGGGTTGAGGGTCATCAGTGCCCTTGCGGTGTTATAATGCTCGTGTTTCAAAGCTAAGTGCATGGGGCTGTAACCCTCTGTATTAATTTTTCAAGCGAATGATGGCTTCGAGATGGCAATTTCCATAGCCACTTCAGTTTTCCCGGCGGCTGAGGCAATGTGTAGAGGAGTATTAGGGAAGGGGCCCTTAGATGCAAGGTTTAAGAGTTTTCTCTCCTCCACAATGAACCCGTGTAGCAGATCAACATCATCATTTTCTATTGCTTGGCAAAGCCGAGGGTCCATAGTTTGACTAGGGAAATGTAGGTGTAAAGGGGCGTTGCTCGTTGATAATGAATGGAAGTAAGAGTAGCATAACTTGCAAAATCATATATAGTGCCATAGTCAACCGAAATATAATTACGTAGTCATTGTTTATGATTTATCCCCGACGAACAATTCCACCGGTTGGAGGGTCTTTCTCTGTCAGAGAACTTACATGCGAAGATTCCCAATCCGGGAACCAAGATAAGTTAAACTAATCGAAGAAGTCTAATTAATCCTAAGCCAATAATTAGAGGTCTGATTTTTTCTTTTGTTTGGCTTTTGTAATATCGTTGGGCATCATTTCTCCCCAACTACTTGAAGTTGTGGGGAGTAGCAGCTGAGGCTGTCTTGACGAATCACAAGTACACCCACCTGGCACAC